GTAAAAAAAAAAAAAAAAAAAAAACACCTCCATTAAAGCGCACTCATCATCGCACTTCACATTCTCCATTGAAGCGCACTCATCGAGGCCTTCTAATACCTGTATTCCTGATTGAAGCAATTTCAGAGGTTAGTTGTTATTTTTTTGAGTAATCATCATATCAATTTCACAATCTGGGTTCACCTTTGATCTAATTTAATTTATTTATCAGTGCTTTAGGGTTCGAAAATCTCAATTATTGGTTCCATTACTAAGATTATGAAGGATCATAACCACCGATTATGCTGCTAGAAAAGAAATTTATTAGCCTAATGTGATAATTGAATCACATATTCCTAAAATTATGTGATTTATCGAGATAATTGAATCAAATTTGGTTGCTAATGTATTGCACAACCCTTTAATGTTGAGATTGAACTATGTTATTTTTTGTTATTTGGTAAAAAGTTAATTTTGGTTGATTGTTAATTGTTAATTGTGGTAGATAGGCGATGATGAAAAGCAAACATGGTAAGGGAGGCATCGTAAGCGCATACGTTTACCTTTTGAGATGTGGCTTGAGATTCTATCTAGATTGCCAATCAAGCCTCTTGTCATATGTACTGTTGTGTGCAAGAAATGGAGGAAAATTGTCTATGATCTTCGGAAGAAATTTAAAGTTCCTATTTGTGGTTTGTTTTTAAGGCTTGCCACTAACTCACCATATTTGGTGAGTATTTTTGTTTTAAAACTAAGAAGTTTATCAACATACCAAAAAGTTGTGCCATTGATGGATATGTTAATGATATTATAGTGGCTATGATAAGGGGTTATTCACCAACTTATTGTTCGATTTGGGACCTTTATTCAAGATTAACCCCTTGAATCCTAACAGGCAGGGTAATTTCTTCACTTTCTACCGCGGGTTGTTACTCTTGGGATTATATGATGGTACTTATGAGGTACACAATGTCGCCACTAACCAAGTCACCTATTGTGTTGCGATATGGTTCAGAAACCAATTGTCGCAGGGCGGGTGCCATTATTCAACTTCCATCTAAGAATCGTGTTTGTCATTTTATTGTTGTGAGATTTAGCCTTGAGTACCGCAAGTATGAGGTATACTATTCGAAAGATGGTACATGGGTTGGATTTGGGTTGGAAGGGTATAACTTTGATGCTGCTCATAAGTTGCTTACGGATAACTATGCTGTCATCTTTATGGAATTCAGCATATGTATATATGTATTGACTAATAGCAACCATGGCATAGGATTTATGATCTTTGTCAAAGCTGATCACCCGAAAACATATCGTACATTTCCTTGCCAAGGCTTTTGTATGGGAAACATTTGAGCACAAAGTTATGGATATGTGACAATACACTCCATCTATCCTATTATGATATTGGTACACTCTGCATTTGGAGAGCTGGGGAAGAAATTCTAAGACGTGGTGCAACATCAATAACCTGGGTATGGATTCGCAAGCTTGTCATTACCAATACCTTGGAGTTAAGTATATTGCCTTTCATCAAGACGAATGCTCAGAATTACCTAGCTAAAGCTTTTGATGCCGGTCATAGTGTGGTGCCACTCACTTGCCTTCGTGATGCTCCCGTTATCTTCCTCCTTGTCAACTCGACTACCATTTATGCATATAATTACGCTATTGACTTCTTGGAGAAAATTGGTGACATTAAAGATTATGATGATATAGCTTGTGTCTCTATATTTGAGCCATGTTTAAGATAGATCCCTACCCATGGTAGTATGTAGTAATTACCAAAGGTATAATACTTTAAAATAAGTAAGTTGATAACGGTTCATGGAGCAAATTGATGTTCTTTTCTCTTCAATTGTCAATGCTTGCATCTCGCTTCTTTGAAGCATAAATTGAGGTATATATATAACTAGATTAAAATTCCGTGCATTTTAAATATTTTTGACAATAATATTATAAAATATAAAATATATAAAAGATATTCAGAAATATTTTATTTACGTATATATGGAATATGATTGTCAAACTGGAAAGAAGATATCATAAGGTATAAATAGTTTACTTAAAGATTTTGCGCAAAAAAATAAATAAATAAAAATAAAACGAAAAAGACGGGAAAGTTTTTCACAAGGTAATGACAAGTGTAATGGAAGGATTTGTTTTTAGTATAGGTTAATAGATTACTAATCTCCCCTGATTGTATATAAAATATTGATTTCGGATTTTTTTTTTTTTTTTTAGCTTAATGATTGCCTAATATTATAAAGGGTTTGATACTTTGTATGCATTGCTTCCCTAATTTGAAGCATATATCGACATTGATCTAAGTTTGGAAGGAAATTTTAGTATGTTAATTTACTTTATTGCTATAATTAGATCTTCTGTTGTTTTTTGGTTTTCTGATTTAATTGTAGAACAAGATATGACAGTAAAACAACCTTAAATAATTATCCTTATAATTAGTTATAATATGATAACTTTTGTATAGTCAAATATAGTTAGCATTCTTATCACTTTAAGTTTTTTTTATTTTTATTTTTTTAGGAGCACACGAGGAGCAAGCCCCAAAAGGAAAACAAAGCAAAACTAAAAATAAATAAATAAATAAAAAGAGCAAAACAACGAAAATAAAAGCTACTAACTAGATCCCTCTAAGTAAGTAGTTTGATCCGGAACAATTCTAGTCCAAACCACACCACATAAATCCTCCAATAGAATGGCACCAAAATTCAAAGGGATGAGAATAAACTTCTGCTCCATCGTAACACTAAAATTAGCAAGCTAGTCCGCATCACTTTAAGTTGTTGCTTCCTTTGTTCCATATTAAATGACACGGTTTAACTTTGTGCACTATTCACATAACGTTCTTTGACTTCGTTTTGTGATTTCGTGTTGAGAAAAAGTATAGTCATGTGGAATCTTGTTGGATTCGTCTCAATATCTATTTTTCAAATATCAAATTTTTATAATTTTTGCTAATGTATAATCATGGATATTTACATTAGAAAGTATGCATTGGCAAACGTGATTAAATGAAATGTGTCATCTAATATGAAACGGAGGAAGTATGTTTTAATTATCTTTAGTTAGGTTGTTGTTTCTGTAAAGCCTATTTAAAGGCTCATACGTTCTTTTTTTTTTTTTTGACAAAGAGAACTTCATAAATAAAGAGCAAATTACAACCTAAGCTAACAGAAAGAAACTAAATACAACACGCAAACTAAAACCCTATTACAAGCTTTGATTATACAACCTATACGAAGTAGAGTGCTGCTACCACGAGCATTCGAACGGACGAACCCCGTGAAAACTTACTTGTAAATCATGAACTTGTTGCCACCATAAAATACCCAAGCTAGAGCGAAGAAGGTGAGGAAACTGAAAATAGGAGTAGCATAGGGGCCTAGCAAAGAGAACGATACACCACTTTGATGGAAGCCGATGTGAGAAAAATACTACCTCTTCAAAACTCAAGTGCCATGACACGAAAGGCGAAAACCAACCTTCGCCTCTAAGGCCATCCCAAGGTCCTAACAAACATCGAACGTCCTAGGATCCATGACCATGAGCTACTCTCCTTAGTAACTCAATACCAAACATCTCCTGATTAGGAGAATGTCAAACCTTCAAGGAGTAACTTGCTTCCCTCAACTCATCCAGATGAGGAGCCTCCGTCAAGATTTGATTAACAATGATAATGGCTGGACTGGCCATCATCACCAAACACGTGGTTGAGGAATTCTCTTTAATCCCCAACCTAACCCACACCCCATGGCACTCATAACTGAAGAAAGGAATCCCACATCTAAAGCAGACAATACAACTTGAGAACTACCTTGAGAATCCTGAATTGGATCTCCAATAAACTCTTCCATCATCCCTGAAGCAAAGTACCGACCACCACAATTCACCAGTGGCACACTCCAACAAAAAAACCAAAATCCTAAGACATAATATTGGATCCTACAACCTAAACCCCAATCCCATACTTGTACCTCACCACTAAAAAGACCCTCATTCCCTCCTGAAAACTCACAAATAGAATGAAACAAATTCGGAAAGGAAGCTAGTAAAAGTTGAACCAAATGATAGATGAAAGTACCCTCTTGACTTAAAACAGACCCTCGACACCACACTATTGAGTCCACTCCTAGGGATCGAAAACCAAACCTGCTTCTTAGGAGTCTAGGGACACACCTAATAAAGCCACTATTCTTAATGACTACACCACGAGAAACCTCGCAGCAACATGCAAGTTCTCTGCCTGCAACTCCACCAATGGAGAATGTAAGAAACTAGAGGACTTTGCTTACCCCAAACATTGAAGTTAGGGAGCCTCCTTTAAGATATAGATTAACAACGATGACTGACTTTGTCATCACCAAAACTAACAAAGGGGTGAACAAGTCACCCCACAACCATAGCACAACAGGATAGGTGACCAGAACATCCATCAAACAACTACCTAAGGAAAACCCAGACCGAAAACTAACTTCCTTAGGATAATACCAACTCTTGCTTTCCTTCCCTAAAGAAGAGAACAAGGGTAACCCCATCACCATGCCTAAACTCCAAAAGCCATGAAAGGCTTCCACTTGCAAGTCCAATTCAACAAACAACACTCTGGATACTAAACCCACCCAAATCAAAACTTCAAAACACCAAATTGGATATAACCTCAGCATACATCCAAGAACAACTATAGAATACCAGATGAACAAAATAAAAATAAAAAAAAAACCCCAAGCATACCACAAACAACATGAAGAAACCCAATAACTAGGCTAATTAAAGGCAAGAAATAAAACAAACTTAACATAACAACCAAAAATAACAAGAACGAAGCAGAACAGAAAACTAAAACCAAACCGACTGAACAAAGAAAGGAACCCAGCAGGGAGTTGACTAAGTGAACAACAAAACCCAAACCCTATCTTTACCGTAGATGGCGGCCACGGGGGGGGGGGGGAACTTGGGTAGAAACCGGAAACCCCAACCTCAGGGCTAGGAAACTTTGTAATAGATGACCAAAGAAAACCCCGAAACAACGAGGGAAACGACTTTACTCTTCCAAAATTGAAACCCTAACCACCAACTTCACCTTTACCAACAAGTGTTTCGTGACCGAGGACCACTAGCCGCGGCGTTGGGAGTAGTCCTTTGGAAATAGATCACCAAGGCCTCCAAAGCCTAGACTCGAAGAAATTCCTTTCCGATCAAAACACGGTGAGGCTAAATAAGCTAAATAAAGAAAAGCAAAAAACGGAAAGCTAGAGTATTAGTCTCGCCGGCGATCGGCGTTCCCCTCCTTGCCATCGTCGGCGAGCTGTGAGTGAGAAAGGGGAAGCGGTGGAGTCGGTGGGGGATTAGGATGGAGCTTTCTTTTTTAGGGAGAGAAAGGGGAATGTAAAGGCTCATACTTGTTAATAGAAAATCAAACTAAGAACAATCAAACTAAACAAATTAATAAGAACAATATGAAATAAATCACTACATATGATCAAACTAAGACCAATCACTAAACACAATCAAATCCATCATCATGACTAGATTAAACTAAGCACTAGTAATCAAGCTAATATCAAACTAATCAAGTCAAAACTAACAAAATCAAGCAAAGAACATGATCATCAATGAAAATTTAGAACAAATAAAAAAATTTAAACAAATGAAAAGACAAAACAAAGGAAAGACATTGAGTTAGCCACATAATCAAAAAGTGGAACCCACAAAAATCAGAAATCAAACCACATTCTATCCTCACCAAGATAACATTACTTGACTCAAACATTACTTGGTTGAATTTCAAACACCCACTTCTCCTTTCTCCAATGGCGGCCTTAGCAACCACCACCACCATCACCACCCTTTCTCTCAACCACCTCACACACACTCGCAACCCCATCACCACATTCTCTCTCCACCCCCACAAACGCAAACTCACCCCACCACCCCTCTCCGCTCTCCCACCCCTCCTCTCCACCATCACCGACATCGACGCCAACCCAACAACACTAGCCGTAATCGGGGGCGGATCACTCGCGGCATCAATGGCGGCGCTAGCAGCATTACTCTCGCTAACCGACCCCGAGAAGCGGCGTCAGCAGCAGGCGGAGGTCGTTGGCGGGAGCGATAAGGAGGTGGTTAGAGAGTACTTTAACGGAACAGGGTTTCAGCGATGGAAGAAGATTTACGGGGAGACGGATGATGTTAATAAGGTTCAATTGGATATTCGGATTGGACATGCTAAAACTGTTGAGAGTGTTGTGATGATGTTGAAGGAGGATGGGTCGCTTAATGGTGTTACGGTTTGTGATGCTGGGTGTGGAACTGGGTCTTTGTCTATTCCTTTGGCTAAGGAAGGTGCTGTTGTTTGTGCTAGTGATATTTCTGCTGCTATGGTTCAGGAAGCTCAGGCTAAGGTACTCTGCTGTTACTGTCTCGATTTAATTGTCACGTTTTTAGTTTACAGAATAATCGACACCCTCATACTGTCATACATTCTAATGCACTAATTTCACCTTAAATATACATATTTATATAAATAAATATTATTAAACGGTATAAAAAAGTTGATATTATGAAGCTAAGGTATTATAATAGCTCTGTCTCAATTTTATTGTCACGTTTTTAGTTTATGTTACACTATCAAGGACTTAATGTAACTATGTTAGGCACACTTAATTGTTGGAGTAGAATTGTAGATTAGTCTTAGATGATTGTTAGTTATTATTAGCTATTTCGATATAAACTATCACCATCTGCTTGTACTAGGGAGTTTTCCCTAACGATACCATTAATGTCAACGTTAACTCAATCAGATGTACGCGGACTTACCCTGTGGCTTTTGGCAATCAAAAGAATTGTTTCTATTGGTCTTAATACTGATATTCAGTAACTCTGTGCTACTTCAACATAATAAGAGATCTTTTTACGTCTTAGAAATTAAGATAAAGGCCACATATTTACAAATCTGTACTTCTTGCATTCATTTAGAACCAAACCAATGATACCCTTAAGCATTGCAAATATGTTATATAAACAAGCAACTGTACCTCAGTGTGTCATAAGAAAAAATTTGTTTAATGCTTTAGCATTAAGTGGCAATGAGTGCTCTTATGTTCGAGTTTCGAGCAGCAGAGGTGCTGGTATGGTCTTCGGTGTTTATAATTTCATGGACACTGAGCAGGATCAAACATAAGTTTCTATTTCTGTAAGCTATAGCCCTTTCAAAAGAGAGAAATGCAGTAGAATCATGATTAGACCATTACTGAAAGATTTCATACCTTCATGGCCCAAACTTTGTTTCCTTTTATGAATCTAAAAGTTATAATGACATTGACAGATTTGATAACTCACAAAAAATGGCATAGATAACTGTAAGTCAATGCATGAGCACAGAACGACCTTCCCGGGAAAGTTTAAGGGGCAGCGTTTGAAGTAGAAAAATACAACTGACTTTCATGGTTTATTTGGTGTCATATATATCTGCTGTTTAGGCAGTAGACACCCAAGTTGTCAGACTGTATGACAAGATGATCCATTTTTTCATTTTAATAATCTTAAACTCTTACTTAGCGCTCTCTTCTACTGATTTATTTGTAAATTGCTTTCATTTAATATGTTGAACCTGTTCTATACACGCAGGCAAAAGAGGAGCTTCAAATTAGCGATACTAGTCCCTCATCAAGTATTGTGATGCCAAAATTCGAGGTGAAGGATTTGGAGAGCTTGGATGGGAAGTATGATACAGTCGTCTGCCTTGATGTTCTCATTCATTACCCCCAAGATAAAGCAGATGCAATGATTGGCCACCTTGCTTCATTGGCTGAGAATCGATTAATACTAAGTTTTGCACCCAAGACATTTTATTATTCTCTATTGAAGAGAATAGGAGAGCTATTTCCAGGGCCTTCAAAAGCCACAAGGGCATATTTGCATGCAGAGGATGATGTAGAAAGGGCTTTGCAGAAGGTTGGGTGGAAGATTAGAAAGAGAGGATTAACTACCACACAATTTTACTTTGCCAAAATTGTCGAGGCTGTACCTGCATAAATAAATTGAGAGGTTAGATCCATGTTTTTATTTGTTCACATTCTTAATCTGTAGATTATTTTTTTGGGTTAGTCTTATGTAAAGTCCTGTGATTTTAAGTGTATCTTAATATTCTGTGTTATTATAAAGTTCTGTATTCATCAAGTATAGGCAACTCTAACTTTAATTAGACAAAGAACAGAAGTTCCAATTTTGTATGGGAGGCTTTTGTTGTCCATGATAATGAAAATAATCAGCTAATTTTTCTTATGATGGCAGATATTTTTTCCTTCTTGCGTCTGTTGTGTTCTTGACAGCATGTGTGATCTACATTACTCATAGCAGTCGAACACTCGGACTCTTTGTTCACCTCAAGTATTCATGTTAGGTCCTAGGTATGCTGACATGAATGAGTTAATAGATGCTTTACTTTGGACCAAAAACAATTGAATTTTTATCTTTCTCGTACATACAATGTATATACTGTGCTTTGAAGTGGTGATGTTCGTCTGTAATGGCCAATTGTAAATGCTGCTATTAGCATCCTCTGAATCTATACACCATAAACAAAACATTGCACCTTACAGTAATAAATAGTGACTTATGTGCAGCAAATCAGTATACAAAATGTTACAAAGTTAACTTCCAGGTCAGAGAAGATTGATAGTTATGCCTGTTAATGTTGTGTAAAGCCCTTTGAACATTGATATGTTGAAGGCAGTGTGACTGTCTTTTACATGGTAATGGTCACAGAAACTGAGACTGTAGTGTCTCCGCAATTTTAATTAGGACATCAGTAAGCTTGCTGAGTATATGCGTCAATGCATTGTTGTTTTTCTTCTTCTGTTCTCCGTCCAGTTGACACTGTTGACAGATGTTGCTATGCCTGTTGAGTTCTGCATTCTATAATTTGTCTTCTGCCTCAATGACCCTATGTCTCTGTGCCTGAAGAGGAGTTAGAGCAAGTTTTGTTCTGTGCCTTCAAGCAATTTTGGTTTATGGTCATCGCCATCTTTCCCCTTGTTATGAGGGATCCAATTAGAGATGTCTAGGCATGATTCAATTGCAGTGTAGAATGTGAAGAAATCAAATGTATATCCTGTGCTTTGAACTTCTGATATCCATATGCATTTAAAATCGCATTGTCAATATCCAGTGTGTCAAATAAAGATGATTCCTAGATTTTTGCCCTTGATCTTAGTATACCTAATAAAAAGGGACTTAGGTAAACAAATCATAAGTACAAAATGTTTAAATGAAAATATGCAATTCAAAGATAATAAGTAGATGTGTCATGCATGACGAAGGTTTGAAGGTACTATGAGGTGTGGACATCTTTTACATGGTAAAGGTCTCGAATTCTCAGGTCACAGCTTCTCAGCAATCTTAGACAGGACATCAGTAAGCTTGCTAAGTGTAGACATCAATTCATTGTTGTTCTGTTTCCTCTGTTCTCTCTCCAGTTGACAGTTTTTGTTGTGACTTTCGAGTTGTGCATTCAACAATCTGTTGTTTTCCTCCAACACTTTTAAGATTTGTGCCTCTGAGCAGTTTGTTGTACATTCATCTGTAGATAAACGCAGTCTTTTGCCCTTTCCTTGTGAATCCCAGTTAGAGAAGTTTGGCCTTGATTCTTTTGGAGTATCTGTTAGTGTGAAGAGACATCAGATTTTTAACAAGTACTAAATAAAGAATGCCTGATATAATAGTAAATTTCATTTAGTTTAGCTTGTTTTGTAGAGAATTCAGAGAAATTGATAGACTGATAACCCGATAATGCATATGCATACTGATATTTGGTCTTGATTTGGATTCCTAAGTTGAAGATTAGGATAAATCCATAGATTTATAAAATGCATCAACTATTGATTTGGTTAAGCTAATGTATATAGAGTGTTTCATTCTCGTACCTGGATTCGAGCTTTTGTTCTTTTTTTGGAATGCTTGATGATGCTGCTCTTCTGCTCCCAAAGAAATTACTACAGTCAGAAAATGTATGTCATAGAAACAAACTGAATTTTCAATACAAAAACACTAGCTCGCAAAGAGAAAACAACTCTTTGAGACTGAACTAAAGGTGCAACACAATATTGTCATCCAAAAGCAAGAGTCTAAGACACTATGACCCATCGTTTCAATCAACACTAAACAGGCTATTAAAACTCGGATGTGGTGTTGTAACCATTTTATATAGCATGTAATAGCCCGTTTTGTTCAATACCAAAGGGCATATTATATGTTTCAAATCTATGGATAATCAAATTTTATTTCATTTGGAATTTTATTGTTTATTTTAGAAGTAGTTCTTTTTATTCAATATCTTTACGACGTAAAGAAGGGTTGAAATGCAACGGGGAAGGTTTGTGTAGTAGCCTAATATCGCAAGGGCGGTATCAAAAACTTATACGAAGTACAATGTACCTATGGTCTTACGGCCAAGATTTTATATTATTTTGCACAAAATCAAGAAATTCAAACGTCATGAAAAATAATAATTTTATGTTATTAGTTTTTAAAATACCTGAAATCGGTTCTGGAATGCAGAAATTCTTTACAGGTTCCTCAGTCATATTGTCAGCAAACTTATCATCCTCCGACTTCCCCGTTAATGCCAGAGTCTCCTGTTCTTTATCCTTAAAATCAGACAAAACCTCTCCACCATCCTGCATTTTCTCATCCTCCTCGTCATCGCCACCCTCCTCGGAACCAAACTCAGCAGCAGCATCATCATAAACAGCAGCAGCAGCAGCAACCGCCTGTAAAGGCAACGGCGAAACAGTACCAGTCTCCCTTCCTTCCAAAACCTTAAACACTTCGACATCGAACGAAACAGGCAACTTCTTCTCTTTCCTAAGATCATTCCTCATACTCCAAAATGAATCAGCCTTATTTACCAACTTAGACTCCCAATTTTTCACCTTTCTGAAATCTCCTATCAGATTACTCCACCTCTTCCTGCATTGTGCAGGACCCCTCTTCACACCTTGCTGCTTACAGTAACATGATATCATTACCCACTTCGGCTCCGTGTTATCAAACAACAACGACGGCGACGACGCCGATGATGATCCTGCTTCTGCATTACCTAGTAATGCAGAACTGATCTTTCTTCCTTTGTGAGGGGAGTTTTCAGTGATTTCCTTAGCCTGAATGAGTGTAAGAGTTTCTTGCCTTGTCTATCTTGGGTGTCTTTTGCTCTTTTCATCAGTAACACTGCCATCTTCCAAACCCAGATTTTGGTTTCCGTTTGATGCAGAATCTATTGCCATTGTTTTAAAAATTAAAAATAAAATTAAAAAAATTAAAAAAATAAAAATAAATAAATAATAGTAAAGATTCAAACTTTTTTATAATTTTTTGGTTTTTGGGATGTTCTTAATTTTGGGGTTGTACTATACAATTGAAAGGGGTGACTAGGGTAAAGGAAATTGATAATTTTTGGAGATAAAATTTGGGGTATATTTCCAATTTTAATTAATTAAAAAAATCTTTTCTTTTAAGTCATCAGTAATAAATTAATAATGGGTATTATATGATACGTTAATTGTGTATCTTATAAATAGGGTGATTATTTCCTTGCTTTGGAGGATTGCTTACCATATTCATATGGAACATTGTATAAGATAGAAGATCAAGTTTATTGCCATTTTTGGATTCGGGAAATTGAAGGGCTATTATATCTTAGTGTCCAATAAAAATATGTAATTTAAGTTGAGGCAAAAGATCAATGTGTTTTAAACTTTTAATAGTCAAGATATTTTGTCCACGAGATCATAATGGAAAACCTCGTTAGGAATATGGCTTACAACTTTAATCACAAAGTGTTTAATTTTGAACAAAACTAATTTAGTGAGATAATGAGCAACAAAGTTACCCTTTTTTTTTCATAAGACCTATTAAGCGAGTCAAAAGAACTAAGAAGTACAACAATGCATAACATCCTCCAAGACAACACCCAAATAAAAAAGAATAACATATTGACTTTGAGAGTCTTAAAGATGAGAATCAAGAAGCTCCAAGGGTTACTAAAAGTGGAAAGATCTATATCACGCACAATCAAGGACAGATCTAGAAATTTAATATAGAACATGTCGGATCTCTAAAGTATATTAAAAATTAATCTATTATTATATGAAGTACATATTTGTAATTCCTTGAGCCAAAAAAAAAAATGAAAAGAAAAACAAAAAGAAAAAAAATCTAACAATTGTAAGCTATAGGTTTCAACCTCTAAACACAAGCAACTCAACCAAGTTATTTCAACATAAATATATGCAACTTCAAATTGAAGTATATAGTTTGAATCATGGGGTGAGCCATGGCTTGGGTTGGCCACCCATTGAATCCGTCATTGCGCACAATCTATGATCAAGTTTTTTCATATATGAACTAGTTGTGAATTTTTTGGATACATTGGGTTTGGGTCAGACTCTTTGGGGAATTCAACATTTGTAATATCCACCTCATGAAACCATGCCTTAAAACAATTAGTATTAGCTAGACTGGTCCCATTTACCTATGTTTGTCCCTTCTACATAAACAACATGCACCATATCCCTACCTTTTAAAAAGTATGAGATAACTCTTATGAATAATAGTGTTTGGACAATTGTATCCACTAAAATGTTTAAATACTAATTTGCCCTCATTAATATTAATTGTCTTTTTATTAAACTCCTCAAAGAATAGTGTGCGGACATTTATACCCTTAAAAAAAATTTGTTTACATATTTTCCCTTATTAATGTTGCCGACAACTAAGTTTGTGACATAAGGTCATACCGAAATAGCACATCGGGCATGAGTAGCTATGACGCGCGCATCGCCCGCGTTAGTCGGCCAATAATTTTAAAAGAACAAGTGAGCAACACATATAATTGCATAAGTAACAATACTAAATTTTTATTTTTTTTAAAAAAAAAGTAGCCTTAAATTGCTATAATCTCCATTTTTCTCCATTTTCTCTCTTCAATTTTGCACTTTCTTCATCTCAATTTAAACATCAAACCTTGGATACTCCTTAAATTGAACTTGGATAATCCTTATTAACACTTATCAAAATACATTAAAACTTATTAAAACTTGGAAAATAAGATGAACATCATAGATTCGTAGGTCCTTATTTTAGGATAGAAAAAATTCAAATAAAGGTTACTCGTAATAAACTTAGATTAAATCATGTGAAGATCATTAAGAGTTATCTAAATTTAAACTACAATTAAAATTATTTTTAATAAAGTCTAACAAATTTAAATAAGGATAATAATCGTTTACTTTCTTCAAAAAATAAATTAATAATCCTTTACTAATTGCCAAATCATAAAAACTATCCCAAACTCTATCATTTACTAAAGATGGCTTTGGGCTGTGCCGGGCCCACGTGCTTTAGGGTTGGTTAGGCCCGGCCCATGATTCGGCCCCACGAGTTTCGTGTCGTGCCGTGCCGGACCGAAGTTTTCAAAAGGTTGGCCCGTGCACGACCCAGGCCCACGTGCCATCGTGCCGGGCTGTGTTGGGCTTGCGTGCCTAAGAAAAATTGCATTGATTTTAGCATGCTTTGTCATGTCAGCCCCGGCCATGCCGTGCCTTATTGTGCTTCTCCCAAATAAAAGCGGCGCAGACTCGGCCCGCACGCACAATACTGTGTCGTGTCATGCTTTTTTTCGTGTCCATGTTGAGCTTTTTTCGTGCTAGGCCGTGCCCGGCCCGGCCCGGCCCAGTGCCATCTTTAAATGCCACCATCAAAATGTTGCCACACTTGGTAAGAGACTCAACTTAAATCGTACAGCGGTAGAGCCGTAGAGGCTTACTGTTAGAATCGTACTCGTATCAAATAAAACTTAAAAAAAAAAAAAAAAAAAAAAAAACGAACAAATTAGTAAATTACCCACAAATTTGGCGCCTTAAAACCCCTCAATTTCTCACTTTCAGTTCAATTCAAAAAAATCCCCCAAAATTTCGAAAAATGGAAATAGAAAGCACAGGAAGCGACATGGAAATGGAGAGAGAAGAAGAAGATGATGAAGAAACTCAACTTTTGAAGGATCGTTTTCGTCTTTCCGCCATCTCCATTGCCGATTCCGAAGGTCCTTTTCTCTCTCTTTCTATCCCTCTCTTCTCTCAATTCTTCGATTTCTCACGTATTTTTGTTCATGAATTTGAGCAGCGAAGAAAAATGGAATGCAAGCATCTGAATCCATTGTTGCGTGTATTTCTAATTTGGCGTTTAATTATGCTGGTAATCGCACTTGAAATTCCTTCGTTTCGATTTTTTCTGCTATTCTAGGGTTTGCTAAGTTTGCATTATTAGGAATGTAGGGTTTCGATTGTATTTTTATTTAGTTTTATTTCTTTTGAATTATAAGATTTGATGGAAATTGTTTTTTTCTGAAGTTGGATTTCATTTGTGTTGCTTTGAAATTGGAGTATTTTAATAGCAGTTAGCAAGTGTGATTCCTGAGTTTAGAAGAAGTGAGCTTGATCAAAATTGCTGCAAGTTTTATGATTCGTAGGCTATGTTAGCATTTGTAGTACCTTTGGATTAGTATCAACAGCTAACGATTTGTGGTCAATTTATAATAGTTTTACGCGTTCGTGGGTGACCTTTCTGGTTAAGAATGTATATAGGACCACTTTTACATGAATGTGCATGGTAAATTTCTTCAATATCAATTAGATTTTCTTTTTTCATCGACTAGGCGCTGAGTGATGTTGAATATTTACTAAGAAAATTATCCTACTGGGTAGGGAGAGCTGGAGATGCATTGACAAGTGCATATTAATTCACAAATGATAAGTACAATGATATGTCAAATGACAGATTATGTGGAACATGTAAAATTAGGTGAGTGGATAATATTGAGTGGTAATGATAAATTAAGAAGAAGAATACCAATTGAGTAGGGAGATGAATCGGAAAGGACATTTATAGGGGATGTCTCGAGAAAAGTTGTTTACAATTTGCTACTATTGATTTATGACCCGTAACAAGTTGATAGCCTTTCTTAGTTCAATTCATTATGTTTTGTGCCTTGCAAGAGGGGAAGGAAGTTGATTGATACTAATTTTAGACTTGTTATTGCTGAGCTCTTTTTTAAATCATCACCATGCTTCTGGCTGTTCTGGGTACAATAGTAAATTATTTGATGCTAATTTGATTGGATGATCCGGTTCTATTGCAATGTTAACACTTTTCAGCTGATAGATATATTTTTTTGCATGCCACCCTTGTCATCTTAGAACATTTGGCATTCTGGCTACATATTGGATTGAACTCTTAAAATGGGAACTAAAATCGACTTTTTTTCTTTGTGTCAATCCCATTCTTTCACATGTTTTGTCTTGGGGACAACTTTCCTCAAACTTGCTACACTGATGCCTCATAATCAACTACCCACAATATGTGCTGACTGCTCCTAGAGTTTTATTTTCCGTGGCGAATGACTAGTTTTTAGCACACATTTTCCGTATCTATTTAGTAATCTTACTATGTAACGAATCTCTTTTGACTGATGGGGGTTTACCTTTTGTATAACAGAACATTTGGCCAAGGACCTTGAACTATTTGCACACCATGCTGGTCGTAAACTGGTGAATACTGAGGATGTTATACTTGCAGGTATTACATACAGTTGTTTTAATTTAAAGCACTAGTTTGGAATTTGGATTGAAGGTTGCATGTGCTTTGTTGAACACGTGAATATTTACTATCATGTTTCTGTCACATAATTCTAATTGGTACTGTCAATTTTATGATTTTACTCCTTTGTATATAATTAATTAATCACTCATGATTTTCTAGTGGCTCTTCAATTAACCAAGCATAAAGCTTCATCTGTCGTACCTTTAAAAAAAAAAAAAAAAAAGAAAGGTTCATCTGTCGTACAAGAATGTTTTAGTTTCCTTTTTCTTCTCTTTCTCCCTTTCTATTTTTGTGGGTTGGGGGGGGGGGGGGGAGGGGGAGGAAGCTGATAGAACATCACTTACAATGCAGCAAAAATATAATAAGCATGTGAATTTTTGAAACTGTTGTTTCTTATGAATCGGTTGGTAGCAACATATATTGTGAAGGTACTTTCAGAAGGTGATAATTATAGGAAGGTGGAAGCAGTACCTTTCTGTGGCAGATAACCAAGAATACTGATATCTTTCTATAGGAAGGCATCTAATGACACTGTAATCTGAATCCTAGAAGTCCTAAATTTCTGTTAGAAAGCAATCTCTAATTTTCATAATAACATCCTAATCTGTTTCTTTTCATGAATTCCTGGACAAACTGATTACGAATGTTCAGACCGGTCCTAAATTTCTGTTAGAAAGCAATCTCTAATTTTTATAATAACATCCTAATCTGTTTCTTTTCATGAATTTCTGGACAAACTGATTGCGAATGTTCAGACCGGGGCATGTCTTGAGACTTGTTCTTTGGAATAGTGATCTTTAATAAGAATAATAAAAGGTTTAGACATATGTGATCTTTGCTGAGAAACTACTTAGTTTATGAAAAATGCATAAGTTTGCAACTTTTGATTGTAACGAGTTATGAACTTCTTTAACAATTTTTATTTTATATGGGTTATCATATTCACCCCCTGTTTCTTTTTTCCTCTACTTATTTTTGTTCTTAATAGCACAACATTATGTTTAAGCAGCTTAATTTATGTAGCTGTCTTCTCATCCCTTTTGAGTATAGTTTGGACAACAAACATCTTATACCACCCAACCCTCAGTTCATACATGAATCATATCTGTCTAAAGTCTCAACTTATTGCCACCAAACTTACTTTGAGTGCCAAACTCTTTTGTTTTACTCTTGCACATGTAGCTTGTTTATTAATTTGCTAAGCATTATACAATCATCACTAGTTATATAATGCCTATCTAGGCCAACTCATGTGATACTTGGTTAATTAACTGTATAAGTTCAGTATCTTATTTGGTTGATAAAATGCTTGTGCAGTTCTACTTTTAGCTGATAAAACACAATTATTGTATGCGGCATGCTCTATTCCCTTTTGAGTTATGTACAACCTAAAACCACAACTTGTCTGAGTAACATGATGTATTCCAGAATCTTTTTTCGATCACCTCTTCAACCAACTGCATCTGTCTCATAACAATAGGATCCTCTTCACAACTTAATGACATTTATCATTATATATGAAAACATTGAGTATAAATGTGATGTACAGTGATTTATTTATCTCATAAGAATTTTCTGTTTCCTTTTCATTACCTTGCCCCCCACCCCCCCCCCCTCCTCTCTCATGTACAGGGTGGCATAACCTGGGGCGTTACCTATAGTTTTAAGGTCAAACTTCTTAAAAAAATCCTATCTATTTTCAGTTGGTAACAACAGAGATTGAGTGCATCATTTGGAATTTTGGACTTGGAACTATTGTGGTTAAGGGGATTTTGATTTTGAAAAATGATTATTTGCTTTGAATGACCTGTAACCAAGACTATTGAGATTTCTTGTATGATAGTGGAAGCATTATACTTGCATCTGATGATACTTCAATCTTAATTCTAGAAGTCAGTATTCTAAACCAAATCTTCATCCACTGCTTTTCATGAATTTGTTGATAAACTGACTACCAAAATGCTCAGGCCTCGGCTTATCTTGAGGCCTAAGCTTTTTTCTGTATTGATGGCATTGATAAAAGATAAGATATATGCAATCTTCTTTGTGAAAAGTCGCTGAGTTTATATTGAATGAAGAATCAGTTTGTTACTTTAGATTGCAATTAACAGATCTTATGTTGCCCCTCAGTTGTTCACTCATGGTTCATACCTTGTCTCAAACTGATTTGCCAATTGCCACTTATAATTATTTTGGTTACCAAAATTTTTGCTTTACTCTTGCACATTTCATCTATGGAGTATTATTTGTGTTGAGTATCGTACATTTATCAGTTGTTATATCATGCATACATTCTTATCATGTCTGAATGTCTGATACATGCAATTCATTATTAAATTATATTGGGATTTTTTTTAGGGTCGATAATTGCTTATGCGGCTCTTTAGCTATTTCAATAAAACATAATTCTTGTAGACAATATCCACTGATTTCTTTAACTTAAATCACAATCTAAATACAACTTGTTTAAGAAACTGTAGTCTTTTAAAATTCTGTTTTTTATCATCCCTTGAAGCTTGTATCTATCTGTAATATGAATTCCTTTGTTTGATGACAAGAGCCTGACCAGCCTGTTATTCACAACTAATTGACTTTGGTGTTTGGTCACAGTCAATATACTAAATTTGTATTGATTTACTAGTATAGCCTTTCAAATTTTCAATATGGACAACTTGTGAGAGTCTTAAATTTTGTTTCAGCCCATCGAAATGAGAACCTTTCTCTGTCATTAAGGACCTTCTGCAATGATCTAAAAGCCAAAGAACCTCAGTCAGAGAGAAAACGGAAGAAAGCTTCTAGGAAAGAGGACAAAGCTACGACAAGTGCGCTTGAAACTGCTGACCTCTGAGTTAGGTGTCGGTGAGTCTTACTCCTTATGTTGAGCACTTCGAGTTTAGCAGAATTACTTGTTATACAGTGTTTACTCATTTAGACTACCTTAACTAGGAACGATCCTATAAGCCTGTTTCTGTGCTATATCTGTTGCGGTGATGAAGGACGGTGACACCTCTTCGAGCTACTGAATGGAAGGGTGCGTCGATTAGATGTGTTTAGTTTGGAGCTATGTCTAATATGTAGCCATTGAGCCTATGAAGTGGTCACATCGAGTTTAGACGAGGAGATAGTTTCAAGCTCTGTGAACTCTTCATTTTTCTCCTTATCGATTTTGTATAGGTTAGTAACAAGCGGCATATGTTTTTATGAGAATGTTATAAACTGATGCTCTTACAGGCAGTTAATATTAACTGTTTCGTAATAACTTAATCACGGTCATTACTGAAACAGTAAGTTGATCACTGGTTACTGTTGACTTGTTTGTACATAAGTACTACTGTACTGTATTATCCTTAAAGAATTATGGCGTAATTACTTTTCTGTGCCTTTAGTCCTTGTAAATTTAATGCATTTCCTTGATAGTGGAAGCAATACTTTCCTATGGAATCAGACCGTGTCCTTGTATCTGATACTGTATGAGTTCATCATAACCCAGAAATACTCATATAGGATATTTTTTTTTACAAAAAGTTATTTTAAATTTAATTATTAGCATTATTGTTATTATTATTAATTTTTTTTATTTATTTGTGGGGGAGGGGCCTGGGGGAGTTTTGGAAATTAGTATGTGCCTTGGTTTTGAGTACCCATAAAATGATCATGCAAAATGATTAGATTGGATAACCCACTACTCCACTACTTTCCTCAAACTTATTGTACCTTTTATTGCACCAGATTCAGTAATCCACTTAATTAAGGAAAATCTCTCTGACTTTTTACCACATTGGTACAAATTGAAATGTAGGTTTCATGATTAAAATCTTATCAAGTGATTGGAGAGAGAGAGTGAGAGGAGGGATACTCATTTATTTGCATTTATTACATTTTAATTTATGATTCTAGCGAGAGGTTATTACGAGCAGTAGGGTTTTCAACTCACAATCAAGAGACCAAGGGTTTGATTTTTGACTTCTTCAACCCTTATAGTTGGTGACAACTTCGTACTATTCACTATTGTGAGTAGTTTTATGTTGGGTGAATTGCCCACTTAGGCACTTACCATATATCTTTTGAGGGCAAAAAAATTGTACCTCGTGTATAGATAAATTTAATCAAGTTTGGATATAGTTTTACCTCCTATTTTGACGAGGGATATTAATGCTTAATCATTCATAATATTAAGTCATAAACATCTGCAATAATCAATTTTATGTGATTTTTCAAAGACTTTAATGTAATGAAACACAACCACGATTTGCATAATATTAATGCTTTACCATTTAAAGGCTATGCGTAATGCCATTTGGGCATCTCCAACCCAACCCAAATAAAAAGAAAAAAAAAATTTAAAAAAAAAAAAATACTAAAACATGTGATTGGATTTATCGGTGAAGCCAACAAGTCGTCCTAACAAACAAGCGTATAGAAGTATGGAGAGAAGAAGAAAATAGTAGTAGTGTGTACAAGTAGTACTATAAAGAGGTTAAACATCTTATTTGGTGTGATGTATAACTTACAAAGTCTCATTATTTTTGATGTAAAATGCAAAAATAAAATTGTGGTCCAATTCCTATAATGTAACTATATGGTTTATGTGTGGCCTTTAGCCTTCCTTGAGAAAATGACTAATATAAGCCCATTACCTCATGTCTCCAAAGGATGCCTTATTTGGATGACACGTGTTCCATTTGTCTTCAATGGAGTACTTGTCACCACCTCTACAAATTATATTTAGTGCCCCATGAGTTAATTCAATTACCTTCTTTTTTCTTCTTTTATCATTCTTGTTTTATTTTCTACTTCCGGCTTTTTTCGGTGTACAGAGAGTCAGAAGATAGTGACTTAGACGGGTTGCGAACTTACAATGATAAGTGTTGGGTATTATGTCATGAGAGTTCACGAATGTAACTACTAGGTATAGTATCTTAATGTTCTTCACACTAAAGTTGTAGGGAGACTGTAAAAATGGGATAACCAGTGAGGAAAGGAGTTGCTTTGAGTCACAGACTACTGCAAGTGGATAACTTATGATGGGCTAATTAAAAATAAGTTAGTAAAGGTTTCTTGTCAATATGGTATAAAGAACATTAAGATACACGCTCATAGAGAAAACACAAATAACATTTGGAAGTGTAGCCATGAAGGCGCAATCACTCATTATGTATAAATGCAATTTTTTTAATCAATACTTAGTTTTCCAAAAAAAAAAAAAGGTAGGGTAAGGTATCACTTTGTACTCCGTGCTATTTAAAATCGTTTAGTAATAGTAGATCGACATTTCAAATCGACATATAATTTAGATTGTTTGTTAATGCTAGATAATGTTAAATGAGGAAAGAAGTTATGTGGTAAGATTATACGAAGTAATACTATACTAATATTTGAGGAGAAATGATTTTTTTTTTAAAGTAAGAAAAAAAAAGGAAAACGTTAGGAACCCAACCTCACGTGGGGAACTCCTAATGCATCAGAGGAAATAATAGGTACAAAGATGAGGAGGTACAAAGAGTAATGTCCATGTTATCACTAACAAGATGACCTACATTTGCGATCCGATCCATTCTGCTGCTCTGTTTGCTTCTCTGTAAATGTGATTAACTTCCCACTGCCGAAACTTTTGAAAAAGATTGAGGATGTCAGCGATGATGTGATCGATTCGCCATGGAACAGACCAAACTCCTTTAATTGCGTTGATTACTAGGAGATTATCCTCTTCGATGACTAAATGTTGAATCCCGTGCTGAAAAGCAAGAAGGGTGCCTTTTTGGAGAGTTGTAGCTTCTGCAATGAAAATAGCAGTGTTGTCAAGGTTTAAGGTGCGAGCTGTTACAAGGGAACTGGTGTTGTATCTAATGATGACACCTACTGCTGCTGAGTTGTTTTTGAGTGAACCATCGAAGTTGAGTTTACAAGAGTTTGGGGGGTGCTTCCTAGGCAATCTGGCGCGGAATGGAATGGGTGGGTTGGAGGAGAAATGAAAGTAGTTCCTCACTTTTTACTTTGACTATTATTTTATACCAATATGCATGTAAGACTACCATTATCATGCACTATGTATATGATGTTAATTATTTATTCATAATTTCTCTAATAAACTCACAATAAAGATAATTATAGCCTAAATTATACATTAGTGTAACCTTAAACCTATAATCAAACAATTTTAAAAAATATATAATTAAAGGGGTAACTTTGTATGATTGTCCCATGAAAAATGGCTATAACTCGCTTGTCAGTTTCTTTGTAGGCACAAAATAAATCCATTTTCAATTCAATTAATCGGCGCAAATAACATGTGAACCAGCCAATTTATGAGTATAACTTCCTCCATCTTTTTTATTTGGCTTTTTGTCATTAATTCTACTCCTCTCTTTCCCTCTTTATTATTTTAATCCTGCTTTTCTGAGCTAATCATAACTGCTTTAGACTTTTTAATTGAATATTACTATACGGAGTATTTTTTTTATGAGCAATTGCTATAAAGCTCTAACTGTAATTAAAATGACAGTAATTATTTTAATTAGGACTAAAATTACAAGAATGTTATACTGGTAAAAAGTTGAAGTAAATGGGCTTGAAGGTAAAGGTAGGGACTAGACGGTAGGGTGCAGAATTTGGTAGGTAAGAAAAGCAGTTAGCCAGCTAAAACTTCAAATTCAGAGATTTATTTATGTGAGCTTGTGTATTACAGAGTATAATATTAATTAAATTTGATTGGAGTCAAAATTATTTTGATAGTACTACATAAGAAGTACGTACGTAGTATAATAATTTTGGGTGTCATAAATAAGGGTAATTTTTGTTTGGGTAGAGACTTATTTTAAATGTGAATAGTCAATCATGTTGGCTGTTTAAAAATTAATATGAGATTAAGGTCCTGTTTTCTTCATCTTATTTTTGTTAAAGTGAAGCTATTAATGCTAAATTAAAATTATATTTGTTAATTTTAAATTATTTTCAATTAATTGAAATTAATTTTACTTAATTGAAATCATTTTTCTAATTCTCTTCTTTAAAATTAATGATTTTTACTGAACTAAAATTATTTTACTGAACTAAATTTTATTTTATTTTTTTGAACAAAACTTATTTTTACTAGATTTTAGAACTTTATTTAATTAATCTAATTCTAGAACTTTATTATTTATTTTAATAATTTTAAATCATCATGGAGGTTACTCGCTTGTTAGTGTTATAGGGGTTACCCGCTTGCTAGTGTTATATGGGTTACTCGGTCAGTGTTATAGGGGTTACTTCGTCAATTATTGTAGGGGTTACTCAGTCAATATAACAAGGATTACTCGGGCAGTTTTTATAATGGTTGCTCGGTCAGTGTTATAGGGGTTACTTTATTCTTTTACAAGGGGTCATATGGTGTGGCCTGCCGCACACAAGACATACTATATGATTTATCCTTTTATGTGCGGCCTTTTTATTGCTAATTATCTTTAATTTTGTGATGCAAGAAATAATTAACGAAATCTACTCCATCACATATTTGGAAAATAACATCAATACAAATCTAATAAGGCCTCGTTCACTTCACCTTATTTTTACTGAATTGGAATTAATTTTACTGAACTGAAATTATTTTTGCTGAACTTAAATTATTTTTACTAAAATGAAATTGATTTTACTGAAGTGAAATTATTTTTGTTGAAGTGAAATTATTTTTACTGATTTTCTATTATATTTCTTCTTTAAGTTTACTGATTTTTACTGAACTGAAATTATTTTTACTGAATATCATTTTTTTAAGGTGAAGTGAACAGGGCTTTAAGTCCCCTATTTGATGTACATTATCCTTAAGGATTAGCGTACATTTAAGGTCAAGGTTTAGTCATATCAAACTATCAGATCAACTTATAACTATAGATCGGATAAGTAACACTAAAATAAAGTCTAATACCTTGTTTTCTTCACCTAAATTGAAATTAATTTTTACTGAAATTAAATTAAATTAAATTAATTATGCTGACTTAACTTATTTTAATTGGTCAAAAGTTATTGCTGTCGCTTCTCTATTATTTTTGTTCTTTTTGGTTACTGATTTTTAGTGGTTAAAATTTATTTTGACAAAAGTTATTTTTACCAACCTTAACTTGGTTTACTAAGCTTAAATCACTTTTATTAAAATTATATTATTTTATTGAATACTATTTCTTAATTACCTATTATGAAGAAGATTACATTGTATAATAATCTTCAATTGCTGCCTAGATAACTAGATTTACCTAGTCATATTGCTTGGTTGAAGGCCAAATTGATTACCTAAGATTACATCATGCCATAATCTCAGTTCACTTCACCTTAAGAAAATAATACTAAAACCCAAAGCTTATTAGTTGCTACGAGTCTAAGGTCCTGTTCACTTCATCTTAAACAAATAATACTAAGTAAAAATAATTTCATTTCAGTAAAAATAAGTTTAGTTCAGTAAAAATAATTTCAGTTCAGCAAAAATAAGTTCAGTTCAGTAAAATTTAAAGAAGAAATATAATAGAAAATCAGTAAAAATAATTTCACTTCAGCAAAAATAATTTCAGTTCAGTAAAATTAATTTCAGTTCAGTAAAATTAAAATAATTTAAGTTTAGCAAAAATAATTTCAGTTCAATAAAAATAATTTAAGTTCAACAAAAATAAGGTGAAGTGAACGGGACCTAACTCTAATCCTCCTCTCCATTAAAAACAGAAAATTATTCATAAAATAGTATCTCATAAATCTCCATTGTTCTGGAAATTGTTCGTGTTCTCAATTTAGCTCTTCGATGTACACTGAAGAATTGGAGTCGTGTAAACCCAAAGCTTATTAGTTGCTACGAGTCTACGTATACCGTGCGGGGTAAATTTAACTTTTGAACAAGTGACCAAGATGGTCAAGGGTCACTCATCCATGGTCAAGATAAGGAAGTCCAATACGGTGCTAGTGAGCAAGGTACTGAGGGAATCTTTTTGTCCAAATCATTCTTCAATCCAATGCACGGTTTTAGTCCAAAGAGTTTAACAAATGGTTACACTTCTCTTAGTGTAACTAATCTTGTTGAAGGCATCTAGTTAATATGTCGTTTTTCCAAGCTTGAAGCCACGCATGATTGATGCATTTGAGAGTTACATTGGACTGATTATGAAGGCGTGATTCAAGGCTTGTGTTGGGCGTGAATTAAGGCATTGGTTGGCTGATTATTCTACCTCTTTACTTGGGGGTTATTTGTACTTAATTAGAGAGTTGTTGCTGGAATAAAGGAGCTTGAATCAAGGGTTTAAATGGGAGGTTACAAGCGTGACTCAAGGGGGCTGTTTGCACGTTTCTTGGACGTTGAAGATGCTCTTTGAAGACTTCATGTTTGCTGAACGTTTCCTCTTTAATTTAAGCATAGTTTTTAAGCTTAGTTAAGTAGTTTTATTTTGTTGTTATGAGGGATTAATTGGACGGTTATATGAGCCTTTTAATCACCTTATAGTTAGTATCTTATTTTGTCTTTTAAATTAGGCAAGTGATGGATGATCATTAAAAGTTGTAAAGAGGAATCCCATGTTCCTTTATGTAACTTATACACTACTATAAATAGTGTGCTATGCATGAATGAAAGGTATCCAGAAATTTGCTTAAACACTTGTGTTTTGATTGATTAAACGTGACTTAGTAACTAGTCATTTTTAAGGTCCAAGTTTGTTAGCTCAAATTTGAAGAGTGCTAGTTTTGGTAGAGTGTTCCCAAACCTAGGAGCTTGCGTAGTGAACGAGTGGGTTGAGTGTTCCCTATTCCTAACTACACCAAGCAAAGGGTGAGTGTTCCCCTTTGTTATATCCGAAACTAGGGTGAGTGTTCCCCTATTTTCACCTTCATTGTTCACGATTTCACTAAGACCCCTTAAAACATACTTTTGTAACAAGGTTCTCATCTTGTTTACACATCATTTGGCGCGTCAGGTAGGGGGTGTTTTTCTAAACATTTCCTAAGGGGTCGAATACCTACATACCATGGGAGAAAACCCGGACTTAAGGACAGCGTTGGAAGCTCTTAATCGATCCATTGCTAGTCAAGAAAGGTTGGCCGAAACCAATGCCAATCTACAAGGGAACCTTGCTGCCTTGATGGCAAGGCTCATGAACGAGCAAGATAGGAGAGATCAAAATGAGGACCCTCCACCTAGGAGGGAGGATAGAAGCCTCAAAGTGGACGTTCCTTCTTTTGATGGGACACTTGATCCAGAGAAGTACTTGGAATGGGAGAAATCCTTGGAGAGGTACTTTGAATATAAGGACATTCATGAGGATGTTCAACGTTTTAAGATTGCCAAAGTCAAGCTTAAAGGCTATGGTGATAGTTGGCTACAAGGAGAGCAAAGGGGACGTGCCCTTAGGGGGAAAGCTCCTATCTCTACTTGGGGCAAACTCAAGAAACGGATGAAAGACCGTTTCATCCCACACAATTACAAGCAAAGTCAATATGTGAAGTGGAGTACCTTGCAACAAAATGGGGACTCTGTGGAGGATTACATAAAAGAGTTTGATAGACTTGCTATTGTGTGTGAGGTAACCGAAAATGAAGAGCTCAAGATGGGGCGTTTCGTATCTGGTTTGGACCAAGAATTACAAGACAAACTTGAAGGTTATACTAACCTCACGTTTGTTGAAGCTTGCAAATTGGTGATTAAGTTCGATGCTAAGAGGAAAAAGAAGAAGCCTACTACCATCCCTCAATTGGCACGAAAACCTTCTTTCCCTACAAAGGAAGGTTCTTCCTTCAACAAACCAAGTAATCCACCAAAGAAGGACACCAAGGACGTGAAGCTAGGTGACATTGTGTGTTACAAATGTGGAGGACGAGGTCATTACAAGAAGGATTGTCCTAATACTAGGGCGTTAACCATGCAAGAGGTTAAGCTCATGGCCACTCAAAACATCAACTGGGATGAGTTTGAGGAGGAAGAAGAAGTTGAAGATGATTGTGATGATTGCATGGCCGAGCCAGAGGGGAAGACTAGCCTCGTGATTAGGAGGGCCTTGCAAGCACGTGTGGTAGAGGATGCTGCCCCCAACGCCAACACATTTTCATCACCCGTTGTAAAATTGGTGACGAGGTATGTGATTTGATTATTGATGGAGGGAGTGAGGCTAATACCGTGTCTAAGACCTTAGTATCTAAACTTGGTCTAACTACTACTAATCATCCACAACCTTACAAGTTGAGTTGGTTAGATTCTAATGCTAGCACCGGGGTTAGGAAGCAATGCATGGTTTCTTTTTGTGTTGGTTCATATTGTGATTCTATATTATGTGATGTTGTGTCTATGGATGCTTGTCATATTCTACTTGGTAGACCTTGGCAAACTGATAAAAAATCTATACATGATGGGTATCACAACACGTATACCATAGTCCATGAAGGGAGGAAGAAAAAACTACACCCTTTACCACCCCCACGGTTTTCACCATCACAAACCCCACAAAAAGAAGTATCCTTGTTGTCTCTTAAAGAGTTTGAGAGGGAGTTGGAAGGTGAGGGAGAGTTGTTCATGCTATACTCCAAGGAAACCCACGAAAAATTTGTTGCTCATAATCCTAGGTTAGCCCAATTGATTAAGGATTTTGAGGACGTTTTTCCGGATGAATTACCTAAAGGACTACCACCCATACGAGGAATTGAGCATCAAATTGATCTCATTCCCGGAGCACCCTTGCCAAATAAACCAGCCTATAGATGTAACCCTTTAGAAACTAAGGAGTTACAACGACAAATTGAAGAGCTAATGGGTATGGGTTATGTGCGTGAGTCCATGAGTCCATGTGCCGTTCCTGCTTTGTTGGTCCCTAAGAAAGATGGTACTTGGAGAATGTGTATTGATAGTAGAGCCGTTAATAACATTACCATCAAGTACAGGTTTCCAATTCCAAGGCTTGATGACATGCTTGATGAGCTGAGTGGTTCCAAGGTCTTCTCAAAAGTAGACTTGAGAAGTGGGTATCATCAAATTCGCATGAGAGAAGGGGATGAATGGAAGACTGCGTTCAAGACAAAGCATGGGTTGTATGAGTGGCTCGTCATGCCATTTGGCCTTACAAATGCCCCTAGCACGTTCATGAGATTAATGAATGAAGTGCTAAGGCCATTTCTTGGCAAGTTTGTGGTAGTATACTTGGATGACATTCTCATTTATTCACGTGATGAAGAAGCTCATTTTGAGCATCTTTTTCAAGTGTTTTCTGTTTTAAGACAAGAAAAATTGTATGGGAAACTAGAAAAATGTGATTTTTTATTGTATGAAGTCATGTTTCTTGGCTATATAGTTTCAGGTGATGGCGTGAAGGTAGACCCTAGCAAAATTGAAGCAATTCAATCATGGCCTAGTCCGAAGACACTCACGGAAGTTCGTTCATTTCATGGACTAGCTTCTTTCTATAGAAGATTTATCAAGAATTTTAGCACACTCATGGCTCCTATAACTGAGTGTACTAAGAAGGGGACGTTTGAATGGACTACACAAGCTCAAAAGGCCTTTGAAGAAGTCAAGGAAAAAATGTGCAACACTCCTATTCTTGCACTCCCTGATTTTTCCAAGCCATTTGAAGTTGAGTGTGACGCAAGTGGAAAAGGTATTGGTGCCGTGTTGATTCAAGGTGGGCGTCCTATTGCCTACTTTAGTGAGAAGATGAGTCAAGGCAAGTTGAATTACTCCACCTATGACAAAGAGTTCTATGCTATGGTAAGAGCTCTAGAACATTGGTCACATTATTTGAGACCACAACCTTTCATTTTGCATTCCGATCATGAATCATTGAGGTTCATACATGGTCAAAAGAAGCTGAACGCAAGACACGCAAAGTGGGTCGAATTTTTACAAACATTTAACTTTTCCTCTAAATACAAGAGTGGGAAAGCTAATGTGGTTGCGGATGCCTTGTCTAGAAGACATAATTTGCTTGGAATGGTTGAAGCAAAGGTACTTGGGTTCGATTTGATCAAGGAGTATTATCAAGAAGATGATGAACTCAAGGGGATAATTGAAAAATGTGTCCATGGAGTCTATGATCTGTTTTCCTTACATAATGGTTTTCTTTTTAAAGGAAATAGATTATGTATTCCAAAATGTCCCATTAGAAGTTTGTTGATACATGAAGCTCATGGGGGAGGACTAGCTGGTCACGTTGGTATTCACAAGACAATGGAGCTTCTCCAAGCTCACTTTTATTGGCCTAAAATGTTAGCCACGGTTCATCGTGTGGTGAGTCGTTGTTCTACTTGTCAAAGAGCAAAAATGGTGTTTCACAAAGGTCTCTACAAGCCCTTGCCAATTCCCGAAAGACCTTGGGAAGATGTTAGTATGGATTTTATTGTAGCTTTGCCTAGAACTCAAAGAGGCAAGGATTCAATAATGGTGGTGGTTGATCGGTTCTCAAAAATGGCTCACTTCATTCCTTGCCATAAAACTGAAGATGCAATGAAAGTGGCTAAGTTATATTTTGAAGAGGTGGTTCGTTTTCATGGGGTGCCACGCACCATTGTGTCGGATCGTGATACTAAGTTCCTAAGTCATTTTTGGAAGTCTATGTGGCGTTTGATGGGAACCAAGTTGTTGTTTTCTACTTCACATCATCCACAAACTGATGGTCAAACGGAGGTGGTGAATAGAATACTTGGTTCGTTGCTTAGGGCTTTGGTGAGCAAAAGTACCAAAGATTGGGATAATAAGCTTGCTCATGCCGAGTTTGCTTATAATAGGACACCTAGTGCTACTACAAAGTATTCTCCTTTTGAAGTAGTCTATGGCGTCAATCCTTATGTTCCCATTGATCTTATTTCTTTGCCAAAAGACAAGTTCGTTCATGGTGGGGCAAAGGAGCAAGCCGAGTTCATGCTTAAAGTCCATAAAGAGGTTCGAAGAAACATTGAAAAGGCAAATGAAATCTACAAGAAACAAGCCAACAAACGAGTGAGAAATGTGAAGTCTTTTGAAGTTGGGGACTTGGTGTGGATTTACATGAGGAAAGAACGTTTTCCTAGCAAAAGGAAGAACAAGCTTATGCCACGAGCCGAGGGTCCGTTTGAGGTCATGGAAAAGATCAATGACAACGCATACAAAGTTGATTTGGGAGGCCAATATGGTGTCTCAAGTACATTCAACATTGGTGATCTTGCTCCTTACTTTGATGATGACGAATTGAGGGCAATTCCTTTTGAAGAAGGGGAGGATGACCAAGATGGTCAAGGGTCACTCATCCATGGTCAAGATAAGGAAGTCCAATACGGTGCTAGTGAGCAAGGTACTGAGGGAATCTTTTTGTCCAAATCATTCTTCAATCCAATGCACGGTTTTAGTCCAAAGAGTTTAACAAATGGTTACACTTCTCTTAGTGTAACTAATCTTGTTGAAGGCATCTAGTTAATATGTCGTTTTTCCAAGCTTGAAGCCACGCATGATTGATGCATTTGAGAGTTACATTGGACTGATTATGAAGGCGTGATTCAAGGCTTGTGTTGGGCGTGAATTAAGGCATTGGTTGGCTGATTATTCTACCTCTTTACTTGGGGGTTATTTGTACTTAATTAGAGAGTTGTTGCTGGAATAAAGGAGCTTGAATCAAGGGTTTAAATGGGAGGTTACAAGCGTGACTCAAGGGGGCTGTTTGCACGTTTCTTGGACGTTGAAGATGCTCTTTGAAGACTTCATGTTTGCTGAACGTTTCCTCTTTAATTTAAGCATAGTTTTTAAGCTTAGTTAAGTAGTTTTATTTTGTTGTTATGAGGGATTAATTGGACGGTTATATGAGCCTTTTAATCACCTTATAGTTAGTATCTTATTTTGTCTTTTAAATTAGGCAAGTGATGGATGATCATTAAAAGTTGTAAAGAGGAATCCCATGTTCCTTTATGTAACTTATACACTACTATAAATAGTGTGCTATGCATGAATGAAAGGTATCCAGAAATTTGCTTAAACACTTGTGTTTTGATTGATTAAACGTGACTTAGTAACTAGTCATTTTTAAGGTCCAAGTTTGTTAGCTCAAATTTGAAGAGTGCTAGTTTTGGTAGAGTGTTCCCAAACCTAGGAGCTTGCGTAGTGAACGAGTGGGTTGAGTGTTCCCTATTCCTAACTACACCAAGCAAAGGGTGAGTGTTCCCCTTTGTTATATCCGAAACTAGGGTGAGTGTTCCCCTATTTTCACCTTCATTGTTCACGATTTCACTAAGACCCCTTAAAACATACTTTTGTAACAAGGTTCTCATCTTGTTTACACATTAGTTGCTACGAGTCTACGTATACCGTGCGGGGTAAATTTAACTTTTGAACAAGGATATCTTCTCACACCACGATATTTTCATATAAGTCATTATAATTTTATTTCGCTATTAGTCACACATCTATTGCAATACATATATCATGAATGAGTCTGGTATTAAATTATTTTTCAATCTTTAAAAAAAAAAAAAAATATTTCAATCAATTTTAATGGTATGTTATTCAATATACATAAACTAATTACCTATAATATTGTTTATTGAAATCAAACTTTAGTTACTCTTATCTTAAAGTTTTTTTTTTTTTTTTTTAACAATTTTTTATTATTATTACTATAATATGAATAATATTTTGTGATAATATGACATGCTTATGGAGCTCTATAGTTTTGGACTGTTTATTAGATAAGGGTTGATAAGTTTAGATAAGATAAAATAAGGTTCATAATTTCTTATAAGGTTCAGTAAAATAAGATAAGGTGATATAAGATAAAATAATACTTCATATAGTGTATAAGAGTTGATAAGTTTAGATAAAGATAATGTAAAAGCTAATAAGTTCAAACAAGTTCAGATTTGAAATAATTACTTACTAATAACATAAGATAAGAAATTCAGATGAAGTGAACGTTGAGCTATACATATTTCATGTCCCCTTTTGACAGCAAAAGATCAAAATCTAATAAATGACAATAAGAAAAATACAAAATGCTTAAGAGAAGATTAAGTCATGAATAATGTAAATTGTTAATTCATTGTAATGATTTGAGACATACATTGCCTACACCCAAATACTAGGTTTTTTTTTTTTTTTTTTAAAAAAAAAAAAAAAATATTTGTAATACGATGTTCGCATTGTGTAGATATTACTATAAAAAAAAAATTAATAGATTTATTACTATAAAACAAGTAATAGATATATTAATAGCAACCTTCAAGCAATATGATCTTTAAATGGATATTAACCAAATTAATAGGCCCTGTTCATTTCACCTTAAAAAAATAATATTAAGTAAAAATAATTTTAGTTCAGTAAAAATAATTTCAGTTCAGTAAAAATAATTTCAGTTCAGTAAAAATAAGTTCAGTTCAGTAAAAATAATTTCTGTTTAGTAAAAATAAGTTCAGTTCAGTAAAATTCGGTAATTATAAAGAAGAAATATAATAGAAAATCAGTAAAAATAATTTCAGTTCAATAAAATTAATTTTAGTTCAGTAAAAATAATTTAAGTTCAGCAAAAATAATTTCAGTTCAGTTTAAATAATGTCAGTTCAGCAAAAATAAGGTGAAGTGGAAGGACCCTAATTTTTTTTTTTTTAATTTTTTTGAAAAAAAAATTCAATCTGAATTTTATATAAATGAAAGTTAAAATTCTTGCTAAAAGTAAAAAGGAAGGAATTGAAATTTAGATATTGTTAAAGTGTAAACATCTCAATCAATAGGTGTTCCACATTGACAAAAGAAGTGAGAGTTAAACACTATATATGGCTAAGTGATTACACCTCCTATTGCCATATGGTATTGGTCTGGGATGAAACCTTTTTGGACTTGTGAATTTGACTATCTCTTTTGATGATAAGTGTGAGTTAGACCCATATTTTACAAATACATACATACATACATATATGTGTATATATATGAAGTATAAGTATATATGTCAATTTTTTTTTTATTTTTTTTTTCTGAAAAAGTATACGAAGTATATGTCATTTATGTCAGTATATGTCATTTTTTTTTTCTTTTGTAAAATTTTTTGGCGCCGTTTTTTTGACTTCTTTCAACTTTAAAAAGTTTCATTTGATTTTAATTATCTTAAACAATTCTTGTTTTATTTACCGCCTAAAAGAATTTAAAAAAAAAATAATGAATTTTGCCATTGCTAAATATAGAGACAAAATTTAAATGATTATAATTGTATCTTGGAGTTGACTTTATATCTTCACCTACAAAAATATAATCATATTAGTCTTAATAACTTTACGTAAAAGCCAACAAGTACCACTAATCCTGAACATTACCTTAGGATTCAAAAAATTATACTCCCTCAGTTTTCATATGATAATCCCATATAAAATCAATCACATTAAATAAGAAGAGAAAAATATTTGGAATCTAACAATAAAGTACAAAAACAGTTTATAATTAGTTTTGCCTTATTTAAATTTTTTGATTATTTTGGAAAAGCATCAGCCATAATTGCATAATCCAAGGGAGTGATTTCCTTTCTTAGAGTGATGTCATCAATCAACAATTCATTAATTTATCCGATTAGAATTTAATATGTATACAATAGAAAAGAAAAACCAAGTTAAAAATGGAATACATTCAATATGGGTAGATCTTTTTAAAACGCCCAAATTAATATATGGGACTAACAAATAGAAACGGAGGGAATAACAACTATAAGTAACTTTAAAACGCCCAAAATAATGAAAAATAATAGTAAGCAAGTAACTTTTAACCTATTGTGATCGACTATATCTATGCATTATTTGCCAATCATTTGTTTTAAACTATAATAAATTACAATGATAAATATTGTTGACTTACTATAATCTACAACTATTTGGATTGGCAGGCAAGATCCCTTGGAAGTGGTGGAAAAGGGTATGAGAATCCTAACCCAAATTGTATCTAGTGGGGATTGATCTCACTAATAATAGTTCTTACTACTACATCAAGTACTACTTAATAGGATGACTCTTTAAACCTATCTCAATTATGAAATGAAGTAATTAAGTGAAAACTATTATGTTAATCTCAAAAGCAAAAAAATACTTGCCACATTAGTAAGAGTAGCAACAAGAACCTATCCAAATTGAACAATTGAGATTGATAGAGCAATAATATAAAAATTTAGAAGAAAATCTCACCTAGCAATTTTATTAAGTAAAAGTATTGGGTGAGACAGTATCATCATATGTGTGGTGTTAGTATATATGTGGCATAATGTGAAATTAATTTAATTAAGATTCATCACCCAAAATGTAAGACTTAGCATCCAATGTAAGTGATAGAGTATAAAAATATATTCGTGGGCTTTAACTATTAACTTAAGATTTTGGTTGAGATGGTTTTTGACATGGTATTAAAACCAGCGTGACACAAAAGGTCACGGATTTAAATCTTATCCACTCCCACTAAAAGTGTAATATTTCTCTCTTGTTTCAACATTTTAAACATGAATATTAAGCTAGATTTTTTTGATGTTGCAAAGAAAATTAAGCTAGATGATATAATAACACCAAAGTCTAATGAGATCAAAGATGTTTTTAACAAAATAAACAACCACTAAAGTTATTGAATGTCAAACCACTTCTTTTCAAAGGTTACAAACCGTGTAAAAAGAATTTGAATATGGAATTCACAAACCAAAAACATGAGATCATATACTACTTTTATTTCATATTATTTGTAATTTTGGAAGGCACATGGATTTTTAGGCAAATTTGGTCGTGAGTGTAAAATAGAGAGAGGAAATTATGGATGCATGTGATGAGGAGAGAGATAGAGATAAATAACAACCTAAAAAGGAAAGAAAACATTTGTTGCAAATAATGTGTAACATTCATTTTTGGCAAAAGTTGTAAATAATATGAATCGAAGGTAATAAATCTCTTACAAATACTAAAGAAAATAGGTAAAAGGATAGTTGATGATGTCATTAAGAAGAGGATGACGATAACATCAATAACACTGGCCATATTGGGAATTGGAACACTTAGGGTTAAGATTATGAAAGTGTTTGGAGAAAGATTCCCTCCAACCAAAATAATATTACGCTACTTTAGAAAAATAAGCGTTAAGATAAGATCACTATATTAATGATCAATGGTTAGAGTAGGCAAGCATGAAGTTGTCTTAGTTTCCTCAATATAATTAATTGTCTTTTCAATTTTATCTGCATCTAAGATTTTATTTCGTTCTTTATATACTTCGAATGGAATAGATCTCCTTTTTTTTTTTTTTTTTTTTTTTTTTTTTTTTTTTTTGAGCAATTTAAAACATGTAACTAAAACATGGTAATATTGCCTAATTAATGCATTTTTTTTTCAAAAAGAACGGCCAAATGATGAAACAATTATTCAAATCTAATATTATATAAATAAAGTAGTATTTTTGGGGAGCATTTGGAGCGCCACGTAAGAAATATACTTATTTCGACCAATAAGAAGAAAGATTTGTATTTTATTTTTGAATTAAAAAATTATGTCGCCACCTAGATAAAAGTAACTGTTTCGGGGTTTTCTGATGTCCTGCGGGAGAGTTACAATTCCGAGACTGGAACCGGACGCCTGTACCTGCAAAACAAACGGATGCTCCGGATGATTGGAGATCCGCCTCCGACGGTCAAGTTAGTACTTGATTAAGGAGTAATTAATGCGGAAATTAAAGTGATTGGGTCTCTTTAGGTGAGAGTGTTTAATGTGTGTAATCTGCGTTTTTAGCGTAATCTCCCTTAATGAGGATTAAGGGAGGTATTTATAACCTCGGGAAACGTGTCAATCTAGGTTTAGGTTAACATTGGGCTGATTGGGCTTCCCTCGGAAGTTGGGCCTAGGTGACCGGTTATCCCAGGTGTCATGGTAAGGACACGTGTCGTGTCGTAATTGGTCCATAGTGGACGGATCATTGCTTGACACGTGGCAGGCTCCTATTGGCCCATGTGACGGACACATGGCGGAACCTGATTGGTCCATTTGTCAGATGGTGATTGGTGGGGAAAAATCCCCTAATCATTTTCCCCTCACAGGTGGCACGTGACTGGTCACGTGTTACCTGTGACAGGTATCGCCCTGTAACAGGCGACGGCCTGCTACAGGTGTCACTCGGCGAGAGGCCGAGAGATTCTCCCGCCAAAATTTTGAATTCTGGAAGTGACCCTTCGCCTTCTCACTTCGCCTATATAAAGGAGTGTTGACTTCGGTCATTTTCACACTTGAAAACTTTGTGAGAGAACATTCGGACCCCTGAACTTGCTCTGACATTTTGGACCCTTTCTGCCTACCGCCTGCTCTGACAAGCCGACTGCAAAGGATTTTCAGAACTTCATCAATCGTCACTCGTTCAGGTAACCGTCGGTTCTCTTACTCTTAATTTTCTCTTTACTTTATTCTTTTTTGAAATGGCACCACGGAAGCACACGACACGACCTAGGTTAGTGATCAGCCGGTCACCGGGGACGGCTGAATCTAGGACTAGGAGTGCCGCCTGCCCTTTTCTGGACCCATCTTTGCCCTTTATACAAAGTCCGACTGTATCTGTATCTATGCAGAGCATGATGGCCAGAACAAAAAAGACTGCCAGGATCTCAAACTCAGACGGCTCCTCCCACAGGGTGCCGATTAGTGAAACATCTGACCAGGCGCCAGATGTGGAAGTGAAACAAAGCGGCTTGAAAGCCGGCAGTTCTGAGGGAGGAGTCAAAGTGACCCTTTCCCATTTTATAGTTGACAATTCTACATTCTCTCCTGCTCCTTTTAAAGGAGAGGAGGCGGGCCCCTCCGGTAGAGGGGAGGAGTCGTCCTCTTCGGACTCGTCAGAGGACGATTCCGAGTCTAGCTCTTCTGGCCATGCTTCCCTGGACACAGAAGAGAAAAACAGTCGCCTATTAGAGGCGAGGCTTTCTCACGCAGTTGAGAAGGGGGACGATTGGGCGGAGCCATCCGCCTCTCACCGAGAGCAAAATACCCCCTACTACTGCACGGTACCTCGGGGCCGGATCACGGCCATGCAAGAGAAAGTGGAGAGCTTTATCGCAAACCACACAATGGGCCCCGGCTTTTTAGTGTTCGTGCCGGATCCAGAAGACACAGTCGTATGGCCGGCTGGTACCAGTTATGATGGCGCCTGCTTTGGCTGCTACGAGGCGGCCATCAAGGCTGGGCTGCGCAACCACTACATCCAGCTGTTACGGATCTTGGATGGGTATGAGTTGGGGTTATGGCAGTTAGCCCCGAACTCCTGGGTCAACGTACTCGGCTATGTGGCCGGGTGCGAACTGCACGGGGTGGAGCCGAGCTTCAAGGCTTTCGCCCACATGAACTACCTCAGCCGGACCCCTAAGGCAGGCGGTACCAGCTGGTATCAATTGACGAGCCACAGGGGCTACCTCATGACGAGAGGTAAAGCAAACAAATGGAAGGACTGGCGGAGCACCTTCCTCATCATTGAGAGTTCAGACACAGAGCTGAATAAGCGCTTCAACAGGTGGAACAAGAATCCGCCCCTTCTTGCAGGCGGCCGCAGCATGCCTCCTGTTCCTCCCAAGGCTAAGAAAGAGATCCTAGATAAAGGACTCTTCAAAGTAGAGTCGAAGGTGAACTCTACTTCAGGGGTACGAGAGCAAGTACCCCTGCACTGCGTCCCGAGCTTCAAATGGCTCTACGACGAGTACTTTTTGGCCTCCTGTGGCCTCAGCAGTCGGTGCTCAAGAGGTAGCCGGCCTGTCGAATACTCTGCTGTTCCGTGCATTTCTTGTTATGACTTTTATTAACTTTGCTATTTGTTTTTGCAGCGGACGCCATGAGCAAAATTACCGCCTCCAAGACTGCGGCGGTCATGTTGCGGGCCTCCATCACGCAACAGTCTTCAACCGACTCCCCCAACAAGGGGGCACCCTTGGTGGGCTTCGAACCTTTCACCCTCTTTTTGGAGTTGTGTTTATGCATATACTGACTCTTTTCTTCTTTTTTAGACGGGCGCTCCAAGAGCTTCTTCTTCCCAACAGCCGGACCCCAAGGCCCGGAGGACGACTGTTGCGAGCTCTCCTGGTTCTGCCAGGAAACATGCGGCGGCTGAGAAACAGCCGGCCACTTCTTCTAAAACTCCAGCTGGGCCACCTAGAAGTATGAAATTGTCCTTGTAAATTTTAGACTTTGCTCCCTTCTTTACTAGGTCTAATCCGTTTGTTTATGCTTGATGCAGCCGGCCCTCAGGAGCCTGACTTGGTCGAGGTGGCCAAGTCTATGATCAAGGCCGTTCCTCCAGCTGAAAGGGAGGCGGTCAGGGGTGTCGGCACCCTTGACCTAGACGGGATTGCAGGGGTCCTTGCTGAGGTATACTTAGCATATTTTTGAGTATTTGAATTCCAGGACGCCTGTTTTCTTTTTGTTTGGAAACTGACGCCTGTTCCCCTTTTTACTTAGGCCCTGCTCCGAGTGAACGGCCTTCGCAAGCCGCTTGACCGGAAGAACAAAGAGGTAAAGGCTGCAAAAGCTATGGCCGCCTCTGACTGTGATAAGGCAATGTTTCAAATTGCCCAAAATGAAGTTCTGACCATTGATATTCTTTATTATCAGGCGCAGGCTACCGCCGCTATCCGGGCTCAGTTAAAGGCGGCCCAGAAGAGGAATAGCGAGCTGGAGGCGACCATCAACAACCTCAAGGCCGAGCTGAGACCTCTTCGCCAAAAGATGTCCTCATACGAAACCTTGGAGAAATCCTTGGCGAGCGTAAAGGAACGCCTGGTGACCCAGGAGAAGAGTCTTACTCAGGAGCTCTCGGAAAAGGCCGAGCAAGAAAAGAAAGAGCTGGTCCGGGAGATGATGGAAGACTCTGCTCAAATCCAGCGCATGACTTGGGGCCGCCTCTTCCCCAATGCCGACTTTGCCTCATGGGAAAAAACGTACCGCCAGT